TCGAGTTGCAACCAGAGTCACGGAACGGATTAAGTTCGTAACTAGAGGTACCGCTGTATTTGGTTTTCCTTCCTTCCCCAGTTAATGGATCCCCTCTTTGGATCTGTCCTTTGTTTTGTACCTGTTAAATTTGCAGTTACATTGTTTCTCACTGACAGTATAAGAACTAACTCTCAGTTTGGCTCAGCTCCTGGGTACCTTGAAACCATCTGCAGGTGGAATCTACCCAGCCATACAGAGAGGGAATGCTCATAATCCCATCCCTACAAGAAATCAGAGGGATGTGGGCCTGGAGGCAGTCCTTCTTCAAACTTGTCTCCAGAGATATCCCTGGCACCCTCTCTTTTGGTCTTCTATAAGGCAGTTAAGACAATACTCTTTGGTGTGGGCATTTGGAGATTGAGTGATGTGTGAGATCTTCGTTGGGTAGCCATATTTATTACTACTTTATGTTACAATGTGTTACATATTATGCATATTAGAATTGTTTGAACTGGTCAGTATGGAAGCACTTGTGAATGAATGAATGAATGAATGAATGAATGACATTTTGGTTTCTAAAGTGGTTATTTTTTGTTACGTTATGAATCTGAGGATGTGGGTGGGATTCAGTTGCATCTTCTGTTCCATCTTGTGGATCAAGCTAATGCCCATCTTAGTCCAGCGTTTTGCTTCTCCTAATGGCCAACCAGATGCCTTTGGCATGCTCGCAAGTAGATGGAGACATGGTTCTTCTGCCATTATTCCTCTGCAACTAATATTAGGAGCCAAGCTTCACCCAATAGATATACTTGTATTGAAACATGGAGGAGATGAAGAACTATAAAAGGTGAGGGAAAAAAGTGTTTGTTTAGAAAATGAGGATAAAGTGTCAGCCCCTCAAATGATGGTGATAAAAGTTGCTGCTTCTGATGTAAGACAACAGGAATCTTGAGTGCATCATGATTTCTGGGAAATGGAAGACAAGATTAAAATCTCATTTCCCATCAGTTCAATAACTCATCTCATTTCCCCTCAGCTAAGACCATGATGTTAGTGGAGCTGATGTTTTTCTCCATATACCC